GTTGAATGCTTATCTCTTCCTTCTGCTCCCACTCATTGATTTGAGTCCCGGTTTCCTTCCCTTTACTGTTGGTACCCTGTATATTTTCCTTTATTTCACTTTGCCTAGCCTTCAGTTTATCCTCCATTTTGGGACCATACTCAACCAATTCAGTGAGCATCCAGATTACCAGTGTTTTTGAACTGTGCATCTGATAGGTGGGCTATCTGTTCATCGCTTAGTTGTATTTTTGGAGCTTTGATCTGTTCTTTCATTTGAGCCATATTTCTTTGTCTCAGTGCACCTATTATATTGGGAGGGGCGGAGCCTTAGGAATTGGACAGAGCGGGGCAACCCAGGTTGCTGTGTTGTGACGCTGTGTGTGGGGGAGCGGCCTGAGAGGGAGCAATGCCACTTGCTTGCATCCTGGCCGGCTTTCAGTCACTCCTCCAGCCACCCACAAGCAAACTGGGCCTTTCTGGTGCTGATTCCCAGGTGGGTGGGTTTGTGTATGTTCTAGAACCCTGTGGGTCTGTCCAATGAGCTCTCCTGTGAGGCTGGGAGTTTCTCCTGCTGTGGTATCCCCCACAGTTTTTTTTATAGCCAGAGGTTTTGAGACTTTTTCTTCCCGCACTGGAACCCTGGATTGCACAGTCCATCTCCCTTCCCAGCTATTCCTCAGTTTATCATCCTGCAAACGTGGGACCACCCCGTCTGCCAGCTGCAGCATTGCAGCACACCCTCTCCATGCCAGCTGCCCCTCCCTGCCTCTCCTACCAGTCGGGATGAATGTTTCTCCTTTAGCTTCTTGTTTGTCAGACTCCCATACAGTTCAATTTTCTGGCAGTCTGGTTATTTTTTGTTTTTAAATTTGTTGTTGTCCTTCTTTTGGTTGTGTGAGGAGGCAGAGTGTATCTACCTACATCTCCATCTTGGCCGGAAGTTCATGTCAATTTATTTTAAATGCTCATGGGTGCACCGAGGAGGGGTACTTGACCTCTCTCTTGTATAACTTGTTGTCTAGACATTGTCTCTACTTTGAAGGACACTTACAAAATTAAGCAGGTGTTATTTGAATGAATTTTTAAAAGCTATGAAGATTTAAAATGAAAACATTGGAAGGTTTTCTCTTTCACTGAACAGCTGGTTTTTATATGCCTCTTTTCTAATGTTGTAAGCAGTCATGTTCAAAACAGTCACAACAACATATGCTTTACGAAAAGTGTTTTCTTGAGGGAACAGCTTCAGGCAATCATCCAGTGCTGTAAGGGAACATTTTCTTGAAGGAATTTGTCAACATTTCATTTTATAGATCCAAAGTGTGCTTATAAAGTATTGAGACAGATATTCAATCAAACCCACCAAGTGGGTGGTGCTCCCCCCAGGGGGTCACCTGGGGATGGATTGTCTCTGCATGGTATCAGGTGGGTACCTGCCTTAGCAGGGGGATCACTTTGTAAGTTATATAAATGTCTAATCACTATGTTGTACACCCACAACTAATGTAATACTATACATCACCCATAATTGAAAAATAAATTTTAAAAAATGAAAATAAAATAAAAGGGACTGTTCACTTCCCCCACTGCCTGGGCCACAGTTGGTAGCTTCTGTTGCTTCCCACACTCAAGGTCCAGGATGGTAGAGAGGGTCAGGGGTTACTACATCCAGTTCTCTCCTTCCCGGCCACTCGGAAGACCAGGGCCCTTGCCCTTAGGTAAGGCCCAAGGAATGTTCTGGCCGTCAGAAGTGATGTGCGAAGCAGGCCACCTCCCAGCTGAGGCAGGACAAAGCTCCTTGGGTTCTCCTCTCTTGCCACAGCAACTGGAGGCCACCAGTTCCCATGATGCTATAAGAGAGAAGCAGCCCGGATCTCTGGATCACTGCTCAGAAGGGAGATACCCTGGGGAGCTCCTGGACCCACAATGGACTTTGAATGAGAAATAATCCTTTAGGTTTCAGGCGTGGAGACTTTAGGATTTGCTCATTACAATGTGGTCTACTCTGACTGTGCTAACACAACAATGTTGGGATCTGTATGGGGAAATCAATTTCACATTTTACGTCACGTAAATGTAGAGTTCTATCTAATCTCAAAGTACTCACTTATTAGTTGGGTTATCTGTCATGCTTCAAAAGTAATTAAACATGAATTTGTTTTGCTTTCTAAAAACAGGTCAAAAACAAAAAGGTTTCCTCCATACTAAACATTTTGAGCTAAGGTTGCATTGTTCTAGGGTCTCCACTGGCAACTACTTGAAAGATTTAGAGTAATTTGGCTGCCTAAGTTCTGGTGTAATATTAAAAATCAGTCACATAACTTTACAGTTTTAACATTCACATTTGTATATATTTTTAGATTTTGAAGATTCAGTCCCAGAAATTTAAGACATTCAAGATCATAGTTTGGTCAAAATATTCATCCGATATCTCCCTTAGAACAAATCAATAATATAGGTATCCCTTGCTTTTTGAAAGTTTGAGTTATACCACTTCATTTTTATGAAAGGTCCACAATTCGCTAGTGCCTGCTTTCCGCGAACCAAAAGAAATCTGAAGAGGAATTTTGCTTGTATGAAAATTGCAAAAAGACAAAATAAGGTTCAGTGTTTGTTTTGCAGCAGCCATTATAAAGGCAGGTGCACCCTGAGCAGAGAGAGTGGCCCCACCAAGCTCCTTCCCCAGGAACTGCACTCAGCATCTCAGCCGCAAGCTGCCAGAGCTTTGAGCTGTATCTGTGAGCATCTCTGCTTGGTCTTCGTTTATTCTGCGCATCTGTTGGCAAGATGTGTCCTATCAGAAAAGCCTGAGAGCTCATAAGGGTGTTATGCTAGCATAACACTGGACATAAGCATATTTGGTACAATTTGATTGGTTATTTTGGGGGGTTTGGGAATGCTAAAACATTCTTCCATATAAATTAATGGTATTTCCTTCTTTGCTTTATTCCATTTGGCTCTACTTTCAGACAGTGGGGGAAACATATAATTGCTATGATATATTGAATGATTCCTAACATACCTTATATCTAACTTTCTGTACATTATATCTAAACCTCAAAATATCCCACTGTATTAACCAGGGTTCTCCAGAGAAACAGAGCCAATGGGATGTTGAAGGGGCCCAGAATACACCACAGTGGCATTAAAATTATTTTGAGCAGAGGGCATTTGAGAGTCAACAGACACATATCTGCAGAAAAGCAGAGCCTCCCCCAAAGAACTCAACTCCTAAACCCTCTCCCCAGGAATTTCAGGAGCTTTGGAACCAGGGGAGATCAATTCTTACCACCAGCAACAGAAGTCATCACCATACCTAAATAGACATTGTCACAAAGCTATGGCTTCTCCCGTCTCTTCTCCTGAGGGCCCACATAGTGTCCCTAAAAGGCATTTGTTCTCCTGTAGTGCCCTTCCGCCCTCCGCCAGTGCTAACAAGTCATTGGCCTGTCAGGGCCCTGCCCCCACCCCCCTTTCCTCTGTTAAGCCTCCAATTCTAACCACCTCCTAGGCACAGTTTTCTGTGAACTCTTGTAAATGTACACGGATTAAAATATGTCTTTTGCCAGTTTAATTTACAGGCCTCCATTCTTGAATCTGAGAGAGCAGAGAAAATCCTTTTTTTTTTTTTTTAACGCCCTAACAGTAGTGTGTATATATGAGAGAGAGGTTTATTTTAAGGAATTGGCTGATGCAATTGTGGAGGATTGTCAAGTCCAAATTCCTTAAGGTAGGCTCACAGGCTGGAGACCCAGGGAAGGGTTACAGTTCAAGTGAAAAGGTGGTTTCCTGGGAGAATTCTCTCTTCTCCAAGGGAAGTCAGTCTTTTCTTTCTTTTTTTTTTAAATTTAGGACATCACCTGATTAGATGAGGCCCACCCACATTATGAAGAATAATCTGCTTTATTGAAAGCCTACTGATTTATATGTTAATCTCATCATTAAAAAATACCTGCACAGAAACATCTAGAATAATGATTGATCAAATATCAGACTATTGTGGCCTAGTCAAGTTGATACTGAGATTAACCATTATTACCACCCCCACTCCCACTTTATATATGAGGATATTGATACTCAAAGAAAGCAATTTGATTGCCTGAGGTAAAATGACCAGCACATAACAGAACTGTAGCACAGCTAGGATGGAATTCTCCCTTGGTTTTCTCCTTACGTAAGGCAGTCGCCCTCTGCCAAGGGACTTTTCATAGGTCAGCTTTTATTTATTTATTTATTTATTTATTTATTTATTCCAAAATATCTTGGCCTTATTATTCCATTTGTAAGCAATAAAACCTGATGTTCCTCGAAGTTAATTTAGACTATATTAAGTTAGCTGGAAACTAAATTACTTGTTAATTGGGTGATGATATTTTAGAGAGATGTTTAATAGGGGAAGAATTTTCCAGAGCTTTGGCTATCAGTACTGGTGTTTTTTATTTTATTTTGAGCTTTTTTTGGGAGGGGGGAATTTTATTTATTTATTTGTAGAGAGAGGGGGAAGGGGAGAGACAGACAGGAAGAGAAACATTGATGTTAGAGAGAAACATCAATCAGTTGCCTCTCATACACACCCCGATCCGCTGAGCTTCAATTTCTTAACAGATAATTTATTCATGAAGTTCAAAATTTAAAAGATAATAGGATTCGATAGTGAAAATCCTCATTTGCATTCCTGTCACCAGCCCCCTTTATTAGAGACAATCGATTCTGTACTTTTCTTGTATACACTGCTCAAGTTAGTCTATGCAACTATTTAAATTATATACTTTTTCTTCTTTTTTATGTTTGCTGCTTTGTACCTCACCTTTTCACTTTCAAATATATCTTGGAGAGTGTTTCATATCAAGTGTTCATAGTACTTGAAATTATCAGAAATACTTAACCATATAATATGCAAATAATGATAGTACAATAATAATACTAATTGATCCCAAGGCTTTGTCATTAATCTAAAATATTCTTCAAATCCCTGTGAGCAATGCTGGCATTATTAATCATCTCAACTTTATGGGAGTTTACCTGCTTCCTAAGCTTTGTTCTGGTTTCTTAGCCAAGAAGAGTCTGCAAATATCTTTTGCTCCCTCTGTGAAGTTATCATGTTGGAATTTGACCTCTTCTTTCAGAGTTCTATGCTTTAAATCCTCTTTACTGATTTTTCCTTATAATCTTTGAATGATATTCTTCCAGGAACCATTTCATAAATAATGCATCCCATTGGAAATCAGTCTGCAGGATAGGAGTGGCTCACTTTTTCCATTAGGATTTCGGGAGCCATATAACCATTGGTTCCATCCTGTAACACCCCCTGCACCCTCAAAAAAAATCAAAACAAAAAAAAAAACCCCACTAATGTGAGTGTAACAGACGTTGCTGATTGTCTACCCAAAACCCATTCTCTTTCTCCATCCTTGTTAAGCGAACCCTAGTTTACTTGGGGTGGCAATGTATCTAACCCGTTCTATTCCCTGCTTCCCCAGCCATCAGGGCAGGCCATGAAGTCCATCGGCCAATAAGATATAAGGACGACTTGGCTGGAGTGCATGGTAACAGGGATAGATGTGGCTGCTCCTGAAGTGAGAAAACCACCTGGCCTCTCTTAGTCTCATCACCTCATCTTTAAGGTGAAAAGTTCAAGTGGATTCTCTAAAATTCCCTAAGTTCTGCCTCTGTTTTAAATCACAGACAATAGGAAATTAGATGCATCATTTTTTTAGGGTTGACCACTATATTGTTAATTTTGAATGTTCACAAAATATTATCGGGTCTGTGATGTTTCTTATTCTGTTTGCTATGTGGTACTATTAATATCACACATCTTGATCTGTCTTTGCATTAATAGATTAAGTCATTTTAATCTAGAAAATCCCACACATGAAACTTTATTTAACATGCATGACCATATATTGTAGGCACACTTCTGACAATATATACCAAATGGCCACTGGGTTCAATAATATATTTATATATACAGTAGTCATATTTATTTATTTTGGTAAAATACACACAATACAAAATTTACCATCTTAGTCATTTTTAAAGGTACAGTTCAAGAGAATTAAGTACATTCACTCTATTTTACAATGAATCACCAGAAGTCTTCATCTTGCACAGCTGAAACTCTAGTACCTGCTACACAATAATTCCCTAGCCCCTGGCAACCTCCATGCTTCTGTCTCTATGAATCTGACTACTCCGGGGACCTTATATCCTTATATAACTAGAATCATGCAGTATTTGTCTTTTTTTGTGACTGTGTGTGATGTTAATACAATCACTCATTCAACAAAATTTTAATGAACACCTACAACATACCTTGTAATGATTAAGTATATATTTACATAATAATATGTTTTTCCCCAAACTAAGTTGCTTTTGGTTAAAGTATAATGTATAACTTCTAAAGTAATTAAAAATGCAAATAAAGAGCCCGGGCCAGGTAGCTAACTTGGTTAGAGCATCGTTCTGATACATCAAGGTTGCAAGTTGGATCTCTGGTTGGGGCACATAAGTGCAAAAACAAGTTGATGTTTCTTTCTCTCTCTCTCAAATCAATAAATACAATTTTAAAAAATGCAAACAAAGAACATGTTAAAATGACAATAAGTTTATACTAGTGCATGAAAATGATAATATAAATTGTTGACAGAGTTGTGACAAAAAAGTTGTACTCTGTAAATTGACCCAGACTTTTAGGAGAGCAGTAGAGTTAGAGCAATAGAAAGTCAGATGTATCAACAGTTCCTATCCTTCAACCAGGTTACTTAACTTTGGAGTACGTACCCCAAAGAAATGACTCAGAAGAAAAAAAAAGTGATCTATTTCAAGATAGTCTTAGCTCCATTATTCATAATGATCACAAGTTGAAAACACCCACAATGCCCATCGATAAAGACAATAAGCCAAAGTCTAGTGTTGATATCAAAAAATTTATATATGTAATGGATTTCACATACTGATTATTAATATGCTTTTTAGTACATGAAAAATGTTGTAAAGTGTTTTAGCTATTCTTTTTGTGATGTTTTTCTTATTACTTAAGTATATTTTATAGGCCTTGGGAATATTAAATTTCTAATAATTTTTACCTGGATAACAAGGAAAAGGTTAAATGACCTGAGCACTAATGAGGAGTAATTGGCTTGTGCAAGAAAATGCTGGAAGTGACCGGAGTCCGACAGGCTCTGAGCCAGCATGGCACTGCTGTTTTCACAGAAGCAGTCTATGTCATATGTAATTTGGGTGACCATACATTCCAGTCCGCCTGGGACAGTCCCAGTTTACATCTGTTGTCCTGGCGTCTTGTCTAGTTTTGCATTTGCCCAGACAAAAGGGTATTATTGTCGGCTACTCTGGGGCCCAGACTATACTTAACTCTTCTTTGTATCCCAACCAGGTATTTACTGCCTCACTGGGTGCATGCCCAACAAAATGTTTGTCAAATAAACAACAGCAAAGGTGGTAACTAGATGTCTTCCGTTCACTGTTGAGCCATGCCCTGCAGTGAGTTCTAGGGATACCAAGAAATATAAGGCTTGGCTCCTTCCCTTGAGAGCTTACAGTCTGGGCAAAAAGTTAATTCCATCAAGTAGAGTAAATGCCATAGTGGGAAAGAATGTAAAGCAAACAGTGAGGACATGTGTGTGTGTGTGTGAGCGTGAGTAGATACTTCACTGAAGAGCAACACTTGAGCTGAATCATGAGGGAAGAATATGTCACCAATGGGCATATGCAAGAGATGAAGTCAGGAAAAATATGAGCATATGAGCTGTTCAGGGAACTTTAAGAAAGTTGGCATTTCTGGAATGTAAGATCTGTGGGATGCAATGGTAGGAGGAGGTGCTGGAGGGGAGATGTTGACAAGTCTGAGAAACCTTGTAAACCAAGGTAGCAAAAGGCCATTCCCCGTCTCCCTTTTTCCTTATATCCTTCTATTATAGGGGCCAGAAGGCTAAGTACTCCACCTCCCAGATTCCTTTGCATCTAGGGTGGTCGTGTGATACGAGCAGGGTGAAGGTGCTGAGGGTTGGGAAAAGGGAAGGGAGCTTATGTGGAAATACATAAAAGATAAGACGGGTTAATGGATCAACAGAAATATGGATAACAGATGTAAACTGGGACTGTCCCAGGCAAACTGGAATATATGGTCACCCAAATTACATATTACATACGTTGCTTCTATACGCCTGCTCACTCCCACTGCCCCAGAATATCCTAGACCTTGTATCATTTTAAGTATTTCACTATGAACCTCTAAGAGATAACATCACTTTAAAAAAACCAAAGACCAAGCACTACAATACCATTATCTTACTTAAAAATAACAATAATTCATTAATATTATCAAATATCTGGACATGTTAACACTTTCCCAATTGTCTTATAAATTTGTCCTATAAACTCTTTAAATTTGGATTCAAATATGTTCCATATGACGTGATTGATTGACAGGTCTCTTAGATCTCTATGAATATATAAGTCCTTCCCTTGTCTGTTACTACTCCCTGCCAGTTTTTAATGGAAAAAAACTGTCTAAACTGTAGAGTTTGCCACAGTCAGGTTTTGCTGACTGCATCTCTGTGGTATCATTTAACTTGCTCCTTTGTTCTTTGTGTTTCCTGTACATTAATATCTAGATCTAGAGGCTGAATTTTTCTATGGAGCTATTTATTTCTGCAGATGCATGTTTTTATTAACATGTACTTAACATAAATTAATGTGCACAGATCTTATTCAGTTAAATAAATTTTGATAATTGAATATGCCCACATAAATGCCACCAAAACAAGATACAGCACATATTCTTTCTTTTTTTTTAAAGATTTATTTATTTTTAGAGAGAGGAGAAGAGCAGTAGAAAGAGAGAGAGAGAACCATAGAGGTGAGAGAAACATCAATTGGCTGTCCCTGATAGGCCCCCAACTGGGGACCTGGCCCGCAGCCCTGACTGCGAATTGAACCTGCAACCTTTTGGTCCGCAAGTCGGCATTCAGCCCACCGAGCCACACCAACCAGGGCAAGATACAACACATTTTCATCCAAGAAAGTCCACTGTGCCCCTTTCTAGTCCGTTCTCCTCCGTACTTCCCATGCAAACATTTTCGGATTTCTGTCACCGTAGATTAGCTTTGTCTGTTCTTGGATTTCATATAAATGGAATTGAATGTTATATATGTTTTTGTGTCTGACTTCTTCTTTTAGATAATGTTTTTGAGATTTATGCATGTTGTTCTGCAAACATATTAGTGTTTTTTTTTTTAATTTTCAAATATCCTTGTTGTTTTTCTCTGAATGTTCCTTATTTAGAGCATATATTCTTGTTTCATGGACTCAATATCTCCTCTCAAGTCTTAAAGGATTTTAAGTAAGTATTAAAAAATGATCTCTCCTACTTTCTACATTGTTTCTGTTTTCTACAAGTTTCTTTCTTCCGGGTTGTTGTGTTTGTTTGTTTGTTTGTTTGTTTTTTGTATTCTCTTTCATTTTAGAGAGTTGCTGAAATGACAAATGATCTGTGACTATTTGTTCACCTATAAGAGTACAACACTAAAAAGCTAACAAGAAGCCAGCTGCTTGATGGACGGGCTTCGCTATAGGGTGATCCTGCCAGGCTGCTTCAATGGGGACCTCACCTGGGAGTCTCCGCTGACCTTTTTTGTTAGACTGTTAAGTTTCCTTATGGAGATTCTCTAATACCCTACCTGAGAGGTGCAGCCTGCTTACCCTCATTCTGGGAGCCGAGGTGGGGAAGGGTCTAAGGGTCTCCTGTATGTAGTATTTCACTGTTCTCAACACTCAGTTGGGCTATATGTTTCTATCCAGCCTTTCGCTGGTTCAATCTCTTCTGCTTTGGGAATGACACAAAGAAAGACCACAAACAATATCCAACTGCAGTTCAGAGAGTGGTGATTGGTAAGTTTTACTATAAACAACATTTATTATGAACTTGCTCTGTGTGTGGCATGCGTCCAATGAGCAAATTTCAGAGGTGAGTGACTTTCAGGATTAAAATCACTAATCAGGACAACATATAAACATCAGTTGCTCAGTAGAAGCTGTAAGTTGAAAGTGGAGAACATGCCTTGTCCTGAAAAAAGGATTGTGAGACAGAGGCTGGAAGAAAAATTAGAAATAATAACAGACAATACTTACTGAGTGCTTACTACATGCTAAGTGTTTTCTCAAGTGCTTTTCATGAATTTCTTGTTTAAGCTGCATGATAATCTTATGAGGTAGAGACTATTTTATCCCCATTTTGCAGGTTAGAAACCAGAACCACGGAGAGGTTAAATCTTG